TTGTTCAGAAATAGTCTGACTTCCCAAGTGGAAGAAGGATAAGGACCCATCAATTGAAAAAGGCAAACCAGGTTTTATTTTGAGTCTAAGTACTGCAAATGTGTGCAACTTTGCTAACCAATCCAGCTGTATCTGAGGGGAGGCACAAACTGGTGAGGGCTCAGTTCTTGCTTTAAGTTCTGGAACAGATTTAGTGGATTGCAAAAGAAAGGGAGAAAAGGATTCTAATCCTCTTTTTAAACACCTACAGAGCACACTGAACCTGAAATGGAGCTCTTCATCCAAAAGACTGAGGGATTAACAATGCTTTAAAGGAAAAAGGCTTATTTCTGTACCTTCTGTTGAAATGCTTCAAATCATGCTGTGATAACATGGACAAGAATTCCCCACAAACTGATTTACTCATTTTGCTAGTGCCTCATTAGGGTACAAAAACCCAACATTTGATCTAAGCCAGCAATTTTCCAATGCCTCTCAAAACTCCTGCTGTATCTCCACAAGAACATACCAAATTCTTCCCAGTTCACTTAGAACATGAAAACAGATGGAAATCTGCCTGTGCATCCAGCATTGGTCAATGATGCAACTGCTCCCAGCTCCTCAGCACCAGCAGGAGGTTCTGATGCCCACAGCTCTGACAGGAGAAAGGACTGTGAGAACACTCCTCAATCTGCTGTTGGCAGAAGCACCCGAATTAGTTCGAACTTCACTCACCAGCTGCACACCAACAGCCTTTTCCAGACTCAGCTGCACTAAAGAAGTCACTGATCTCACTTCCAGTCACCATTTCCTCCATCTGCCACTTAAATTGCTCCTCCAAGTCCCCCAATAGATGCTTCAATTTGATAGAATAAGAGACCTACATCTTACACAGATAAAAGTTCAGGAAGTGCTCCCTATAACAGCGCATTCAACAGAGCAGAGGAGGTGGCAGAGGGCAGGAACAAAAAGCCAAGGATATGGCACCAGGATGGCCTCTTTCACAGCAGCAGGTATTGCAAGGACTGCATCTATTTAAGTCTTGCTTCACTTAACATAAATTAAAATGCTTTAGTTGGATACCTACAGCAAAGTATCACACCTCACTTGGCTGGGAACAATTCTTTCAACAACTGTGGCAGGTTAAGTGAAAACCAATTATAAAGAACATTTTCTAGAAAAGCACAAAACTCAGGACTGGATTTTTGCTAAACCAAATCCAGCTATGTTATCTTCTATCTTTATGCATTTTAGAGGTTATTTTTTGACTCAGAGATGCAAGCTATCCAAAACTATACTTTCAAAAAGAAGGAGCAACTCTGCTATGCTATAGAGTCACAGCTTTAAAGATATTTATGGCATTTGTTCTGACAAGCTTTAGCCTTCAGACCATTCTGTACATGACTGGACAAAGATCTTTCATACACGGCAGTACACACTTGCTAACAAACCTGAGGAGGGGGCAGAAAAGTTAAGAGTGCTAAATAAGGGACAGAATTCCATTTCATACCCAAATTCAAGTTACAGATTAAAGAATAATAAGAACTGATCTTGGGAAGGAGAGTAAAGAACAGAAATTCAGCAGCAGATGAAAAAAGACAGGTGAACAATGTAGTATATAATTGTTTATGCAGAAACCAATGGCTGCTTAGAGGTAATGCCCCATTTCCTTACAGAGATCCAAGATAAGGAGTAGAAAAGAAACCCTGGAATAAGCATCCCACAGCCACCTCAAATCTACACTTTGCTTCAGCAGACTGGATCTGAACATGCAATAACCAAATATATTTGGAAACATAATTCTATAGATTGGAGAAAAGTGCATGTCAAAAAATGACACATTGACAGGATTCTCATAATGCATACATGAAACTGCAGGAGACTAACTTATGCACAAGAGTAGCAGTGCAGGCTGTTCTGTAATTAAGGCTGCTGCCCTTCATAAATCTGTTTCCAGATATTATTTCCTCTAAAATACTCCTTCAACAAGTAATGAAATCGAAATAAGATTATAGGCAGGCCCAAAGTGCCATTTTCCCAACAATATTTCATCATCATTGTTGCTGACTTACCATCTCCCAGAAAGAGCTTTCCAACACCGCTTCCCAAAATCTCCCGACACTGCCATACAGCACATTTGTCCACCACCTCCAAGAAAAGTCAGGAGGATACATGGAGAACCAGATAACCCCAGCTTTAAGGGGCTCCCACAGACGCTACCTATCAGCCAGAGCAAGCACCACATTGAGGCACTCACGTTGATTCTTCTCGCCTAAAGAATACGGTGTGAATGACCTCATTATTCTGGTCTTGCACTGCCAAACGACTCCTCTTTCCATCACTAAAAGGCTCCACGTGGAATGCAGCGTTTAACAAAACCCCCTGGGGACACTTCCAGCTGGCTGTTCCTAGGTGGGGTGGACACGGGAAATCTGCCACTGAAAGCCCGACTGGGCTCAACACCTCTGCAGTGCTCGAGCCCAGTGGTGGCAGGATTACAGGACATCTTCCCACTCCTATGGAAAGCTCCTTAGCTGTCACACCCATGAATTACAGCACTTCGTCCGTGCTGGCTACTGCCTAACTCTCTTTGTATCTTCGAAATGAGAATTCGAGCACGCTGAAAATTTCAGATGCAAATCACTTCAACTAATCAGGACACCCAAGGTGGTTCATGTTTTTATCCAGGCTTAGCTGTCACACCCATGAATTACAGCACTTCGTCCGTGCTGGCTACTGCCTAACTCTCTTTGTATCTTCGAAATGAGAATTCGAGCACGCTGAAAATTTCAGATGCAAATCACTTCAACTAATTCATGTTTTTAGCCAGGTAGTAGAAGTTGAAGCATCTCGTCTAGCTCACGGAATCTGAACCATGCTGTCAATACATTTAAAAGAACTTTATAAAATGGACTGTATGACACATGTTAGCCATTTCGAGGTTTACATTGCTCCATTACCTGACAATTCACTCAGTGAACAGGGTGTCGCAAAAGGTAAATTTTCCCTAAAGTGTCCAAAAAATGCAACTGTATCAGTTACTTTTAAAAGCCTGGAATACAGCACCTCGAAACTTTAAACACATAAAGGTATTTAAATGCATGTGGTTGCTACATCTCTTAGTCAAATGAACTCAGGGGAGAAGCAGATTGTGGAAGTGGCGATACAAAGACATGAAGTTGAATTAACAGAGGCCACTGTAGCAAAGTGACTTTTAAGTGAATAAACCCCAAACCCAGGGCATTTGTGTTGCACCCAGAGCTGAGCCTAGAGCACTCGACCTAAACCATTCAGCTGGTTTGAGGCTGTTTCACAGACAGATTTTAACCAAGCAATACAAAATAAAGACTTCGGTGTGAGGCAAATATACTGAAATATGAGAAGAAATGAAAGCCAAAAACTTAACCTAAGTTAAAAGAAGAAAAAAGGCTGAGGTGGAATTGTGTTTAAGATGAGAATGGTACTACTATTTTGCTCTGTCTCCTCCACCTTTCCTTTATTCCTCTTAACAGACACACAAAATTAAAATACAGACAACCACTGCAGCAGATGTAGTGGCTGACCCTTCCCACATCTTTAATAAATAGTTTCTGGAGCACTGCTGACAAACCTAACCCAGTACACTGCACACCCCTCAAAATTACTGGTATTTAGTCAAATCTGTTTTCACTCCTGAGAAAAGTACTAGTTGATCTTGACAGCAATTTACAGTTTTCTAAAATAAAGAGTGGCCAAGAAGTGCAGTTACAAGTACCACATTTTTGATCTTCCAAAATTTAAATGGACACACGTCTTAACATTATTTTTGCCGTTGGGACTTCGGTAAATTGAGAAGCAGTAAGTTACTTAATTCCTACAAAATACTCAAACCCTTGACATCACAGTACTTACTGCAAAACAAAGGCTTAATATCAGGTGCATGCCAAGCCAATGGAAGACTGTCAAAGAAAATGTGTTTCCATTGCTATTTCCTTCTCCTGAATAGCAAATTATTTGAAAAAAAAAACATTTTGAAAAACAATCAGAACTTCATTTTACCTTTCACTTCAATAGTAAATAAATATTCCTAATCTAACATTCACAAGACATACTGCCCTGTAAAATTGCTATTTAATATTCAGCCAAAGAGCATGTCTCAAATACATTACTCCTTGTGGAAGACAAGACATGAGACAGAAAGCAACCCCATTAAAAACTGCAGGTTAATACCTCAGTGGAAAAAGGCCAGTGTCAGACACTGCAAGAGAAAAAACCCAACACATTCCCTCTCCTGCTTTGGGCACACAAGATCTCTTCGGTTTCAGGTCAGTGAGAAGGGAGCATCAAAATTTAAAATTAAAGACTATTAGCAAAACCACTCCAAGATAACAAACACTAAGGCAGACTGCACTATGTGCCAGTGCACCCTAAGCACCACTCTTTTTGGTTTTTTTCCATCACCTCCTAATCCAGCTTTCTATGGACATCACACAAATCCATCAACACGTAGGATGTGCAAATCTCTTCACGTGAATAATCTGAATAATTCTCAGACCCCGTGTAACAAACAGCTATTCCTCACTTCTTTTTCCATCTCGTTCCATCTTCCTCATAAAGTGAAACCTTTCTTCGGTGCTGAAAACTCATTTTAAAACGTTTTTAAAAGAGACGGTAAAAAAAAGGCCGTGACGTAGTTCTCTCTCAAGTCTACTTACACTTTATACCACAATATGGTAGATATACCCACATGCAAAATTATCCAACATGCGCCAGAAACGTTAAGAAAATGAAAACATAATAGATGAAGAGCCCCGTGTCCCACTCCGGCCAGCGCTGGCTATATTAGGGAAGGGAAGGGCCGGGCTGGCCCCGCGGGACCGTGACCCCCGGCCGGGCTGCACCCCGGCCCCGCGGCCGCGCCGCCCCTCCCTCAGCGCTGCCCCCGCTCTGCGCACTGCGGCCGCGGCCCCCCCTCCTCCCTCAGCGCACTGCGACCCCCGCCCGCCGGAGCGCCTTCCCCGGCGGCATCGCGGGCTCCTCACCGGGGCGGAGCGCTCCCTCCCGGGCTCCTTCCCGGGCTCCTTCCCGGGACGCCGCGCCCGGAGGGTGGCGGCTCCTCACACACGAGGGGCGCCGAACCCAGCGCCGAGCGCCGCTCGGGTTCCTCCTGCTGCTGCCGCGGCGGGGAGAGAGGCCCCGCCCCCGGGCTCCAACCTCCAATGGCTGCGCGGGACGCTACTGATGGACAGCTCCGCGGACCAATAAGCGTCGCGGCACCCTCCCCCCGGAGCTGCCGCGGAGTGGTGCCGCTCGGCGCTTACGCGAAGCCGAGCCCGCCCGGAAGGCGGCGGCCAATCGGAGGGCACGGCCGCCTTGATAGACAACCGTGAGCACCAGTAAGAGCGGCGCACCGGCACCACAAAGCCCGCCCCTTGCGTGCAGTCCATGGCCGCGGGCAGACGGAGCGATCCCGCGGCTGTGGTAGTGCGGTATCTTAGTGGCCTCCGCTCCGTGTCCCGGCCGCTTTCCCTTCACCCACACCTCAGCTGCTCCCCTGGTCCCGTCGTGTGGTGTATCCCGAGCAGCAGCTCCCCGGTTCCGCTGGGTCCCCGCGCCAGCGCTCCCGCAGCCGCACGGCGCCCGCACCATGGTGGGGCAGGCTGGGATCTGTAGTCGGGGCTTGTCCCTCTCGCTCTCCTGGCTCCTCGCCCCGGCCTTCACCGTTCTTTCTAACCTCGAGAGCCGGCGGCACTGCCCCGTCCAGCCCGGCCCTTAGAGCGCCATCCTCGCCTCCCTCCGTTCCCAGCCCCGCTTCGCCCTTCCCGCCCCTCCTGCTCCCTCAGCCCGCCCGCTCCAGCGCACCAGGGGCCGGCACGCCGCACGGCCGGGCGCGAAGATGATTTTTTAACTCCCTCCTGGGGAAACGGGGCCAGGGGCGAGAAGGACGGGGAAGACAAAAAAATAAGGGAAAAGCGGTGCCCGGGCCCAAAAGCGCTTCCCGTCCGTGACCTGTGGTCATGCGTCACTTCCCGGCGGTCGTTCGAGCGCGGAGCCCGCGCCCCTGAGGGGCTGCCCGGGCTGGGGCGCGCTCGGGCTCGGCCGCCAGCCCGGGGCCGGCTGCCGGGTGACTGCTGTTTGTCACCAGCCCGCGTTTGTGACAGGTTTCACTTCTTGCGGTTGCTGCTGCTGGGTCGTCGCATGGTGCGCTCAGGTACTTCTGCGATTGCAGCTGCAGGGACGTGCGTAAGTAAAATAAAAAACTTGCCCCCAGGCAGGTGTTGAGGTGTGCGCTTCCCTCCAGCTCGGTACAGCGGCCTGTGGAAAAACTGTCCTGTGCTGGAAAAACTGAACTGTGTGGTGTCGTTTGCTCCGTCTGATTGCTTGCTCTTGTTCTGATGGGTAGATTTTCAATTCTTTGTTATCCCACTGGTGGCTTCTCAGAACAAGAAAGACAAGGAGCTACTAGAGAGGGTCCAGCGGAGGCCACAAGGTGATGAGGGGTCTGGAGCGTCTCTCTTATGGGGAGAGACTGTGAGAGCTGGGCCTGGAGAAGGCAAGACTGAGAGGGGACTCATTAATGCACATTAACATCTCAAAGGTGGGTGCCAGCAGGATGGTGCCAGACTGTTTTCAGTGGTGCCCATCAGCAGGATGAGGAGCAACGGCCATAAAATGAAACAGGAGTTCCACCTCAGCATGAGGGAGAACTTTTTACGAAGATGGCAGAGCACTGGGGCAGCTGCCCAAGGAGCTCATGGATTTTCCTTCTTTAGAGACATTCCAAAGGCACCTGGATGTGTTCCTGTGTTATCCAGGTGACCCTCCCTTGGCAGAGGAGTTGGATGGGATGCTCTCCAGAGGTCCCTTCCAACACAATTCTGTGATTCTGCGAAATTGTTTATTAATCAGTCAACCCAGATGTTCTTAGAGCCTTGAATTCCCTATTAAGTTTTATTGAACATGCAGTCATGGAGCAGTTAAGTCCATCAAGAGGAAATTTATGAAGCAAAACCCTTAGTGGAAAGACTCATTTGTCTTAGTCACGTGTTGCTGAGCTGCATTAAAGGGCTATACTTAGTGGCCTGTGAAAATAAGCAGTGGGTTTATATTATGTAATCAGCTTGTGTTGACAAACAGCTATTGGAAAACTTAAAGTAGTCCTTCAACTTGTCATCAGTCTTGCACCCAACTTTCCAATAAAGAAACTGCCCCAGGGTTAATATCCTCAGCAAGCTGGGTCTCATTTGCTGCCTCTGGAAGGATAAGGGCCTATAGTGAAATGCAGTATAGCAGCAGCAGTGATTAGAAAGAAATTCAACATTGAGTATTTTCAAATTTTATTTTATTGTTTGCACTGCCCTTATTCCTCAGTAACTACTGGCTTTTCCAGATCATTTATGATTGATTGAACACAATAGAAGTTGGAGCAGATTACTTGGAAGTACTGCTGATGTTGTTTCTCTCATGGATGAGCTGTCTACTTGCTTGACTTCAAAAAAAGTTTCAGGGCAAATTTTTAATATGGCAGCTCGGTTTTCTTGGAAGTTTGAGAGAGTTTTTCAGAAGTTTTCCTGGCAATTATAGTTACTGTACAAATATGTTTATAAAATTTACTCTGTTTAAATTCAGTTTTGAAAAGCAGTGGGAATTGGACTGCATCAAATAGTTTTTAAATGCATTGTTGTAGAACCCTTTCAAAAAAACTTCATCAGACTGGAAAAATGAGAATCACTTTTACAAAACACTATTATCTGGGGACTCCCACCCAATAAAAGCATTTATCCTGGTGTGCATGGGTTATTCACATAATTTTTTACTAGTTTTTTATGCCCTATGAGTGAATCATGATGTAGGTCCAATCTTCCTCATCCCTGCTTTTAAAAGCTGGGATCATTTACCACTATCTAGTCCTGAGATACTTAAACAACTTTAGATTAATAGTTACTGAGTTTAGTAATTCAACTTTTTCATCCCTGATTTCCTTTAAAACACTTGAGTAAATACTCTAGAGTTTGAGTTTAACTGAAGAGACTTGTGCAGCTGAATCAAGTCTCTGAATGAAAAGCTGGGTCTCCACACAAAATCTTTTAGGTCTGTTTTATCTGAAAGAAAATGGATCTCCAGAACTGGTGATCTGGAGATGTGGGAAGGTCGATGTGATCTGTATTACAGCACATTAAGGACACAGGAAAAAGCCATGAAAAGTTGTAGTTAGAGGATACATGCACTGGTCTTTCTCCCTTTATATCTTCTAAATCTGCAATGACTAGAACAACAGATACAAACTGGTCTTCTGCTACACTGACCAAATTATTTTTTAAAACAGACTGTTTTTATTTCTTGACATTATTACAGTGTGTACATAAGTACACTGGCTCAAAACATACATGACCACCATTGCCACAGTCATTGTATATGTTGTTTTAATAGCCATTGTTCACCACATGTGGAGTTCTTTAATTATTCACTTAGTCTGTAATTATTCACCATTCATTTATACAATCATTCACCTAGAGAAAAAAACTAAACAAAAACTTGTACATATCTGGAAGTTAGTGCTTTCTGTTTTGCTGTTTTCTGAGATCTGCAAAGTCAGTTTTAACCTTGTTAATGACTGATGCAGAAACATTTTTCATTGTAGTATTGCTGTGTACTGATGACTCATGTGCCTCCTCTAATTCAGATCTGTGCTTCTGAAACTACATGGTTCCTATTCAGTGTTTCAGTGAAAGGATCTTGTCATGATCTTGTTCAACAGAAAGTTAATGATGTTAACATTTCATTCTCATATTGTCACTCACAACAAGCTATGTAGGGAGCTGATCACAAGTACACCATTATCTCTGCATTTATAGAATGGAAAATTATCAAAGAAAATGAGTCACAAATTTTCTGGAGAGGTGAATCTCAGAACTGAGTGTTGAACAGCTTTGTTGGGCCCACCAATCCTGCAGCATTGTTGACTTGTGTGGCTCTACAGAAATGTTTTAGTTTTTGTCTTTAGTTTGTGTTTGCCAGCAGTCACCGTACCCTAATCAACTTTTAAAGGAAAGAGATGCACGGTGGAAAATATTGTGACAGAACTGAAGTGATTATAGTTATTTTCCCAACAGTTAGAATTGAAACATTCATGTTTTCTCAATTGAGAGCAGAAGCAGGTATTTATTTACTGGAGCTTTATGATTTTTTTTCTGGGAAATGCTTGTCTTGGGCACACAGGGGCTTTCCATCTTCTGTTAAGCAAAGCTCTGTGGTGGACATGCATGAGAGAGCCTGGTTCTCATCACAGTACTTGTATCTGCTGCTGAGTGTTCCAGAGGCCCAAGGTATAGGAATCTTGTTTCTGTAAAGCTATACCAAAGATTCCACTTAGGAAAATGGGGGACAAAATTGCCACGGTCAGTACAGTGCTCGTGTCCCAACTTTTGTGTGTTGTTCAGTATTACAAATTTAAATTCACTATTCTTCCCTCATTGCCCAGCAGGATGGTGTGTCAGAATGCTTGTGGTTGAACACCTCTTCTTTGTAGAAGTGGCAGTGGAGGCCCAAGAAGGAATGCCTGGAAGTTCCAGTGTTACCCTGTTCAATCCTTCCACAATGAGAATGTCATGGAACTTCCCTGGAGGCTCATCCACAGCGTTTTCTTTACATTCCCCTGAATGCCTGATATGTGTCCTGGTAGATGTGTCTGTAATTCATCCTGTACCCAAAGTACATGTCCATGACTAAGCTAGATTTGAATGGCAAATAACTTCCTTTCATGAACAGGGTATTTGCTAAAATAATTATTTCATAGTGTAAAGCAAGAGACACATGCTGGCTTCTTCATCCTGGAATATTTAGAATATTTTATGGATAGTGAGATGAGGGACTCTTCCTCCAGCATCTGCACAACTTATGCTTTCCAGAGAGAATTCTCAAAACTCGAGGAAAATTGTGTAGATATTATTTCAAGATAAAGTGATGAGTATTGTTCCATCAAGCTTTATTCTCTATTCTGCCATGTAGGTAAGATATCTGATTTCTCTTTTGTTTCCCTCTGGTTCAGCATGGCCACTGCTCTCCAGGAAACACCTTCCCTCAAAGCCTCTCAGTTAGAGGATGTTGACTCTAAGCTGTCCTTCCTACCTGAAAGACTGAGAAAGAAGCTGCTTCCTTT